GTTTAGAGAAAAAAACAAAGTAAAATGATTTTAAGGACAAAGAGTCAAGTAAAAGATGCTACTATAAAAGAAAACCATACTACAAAGGCTAGATACTTGGTTCTTTAGGGGAATGATGTATTTTAAATTATGCTGTATAAATTAGCTGACAGCACAAGCAACAAAACAGTTGGTAAAGCACTGAAAATGTAGGCCTAAGGACAAATTAAGACCCTGTAAATAGGTATATTCTCTGTGACAATGAATATAAATAGAAAAATGAAACCCGAACATGTGCTTTCCAATGTGGTAGCCACTAGCCATGTGTGGCTACTCAGCCCTCCTAATGTGCTGGTATGACTGAGGAACTAAATTTTAAATTTTATTTACTTAAAATTTAAATGTATCCAACAATAGATTATTATTCAGTAGTAAAATGAAATGAGTTGTAAAGCCATGAAAAAGGATCCTTAAATGCATATTGCTAAATGAAAGAAGCCAGTCAGAAAAAAGGGCTCCTTTAACAGTCTCTGTTTTGGGAGAAAGCCAAGCATAGGGCCAGTATCAAGGTTTTATTCATTCAAAGAAGCCAGGTGTGGTGGTGTAAGACTACAGTCCCAGTTACTTGAGTTCATGGGTTTGAGATCAGCCCAAACAACAAAGTGAGGCCCCCCCACCAAATATTTATTCAGCAAGGATTAAAAAGTACCCCTTCAACAAGGATTAAAAACTCTAAATACTCTCAAAGATTAAATAAAAGTCATAAAATTGTAGTCATAAGTATCAAAGAGTTTCAATATAATTCTAAAACTCATTTCCCATTGTAACTTGAAGTAAGTCTTTTGTTTATATTTCTTTCCACCAGGCGTGGTGGAGCATATCTGTAACCCCAGCACTGGGGAGGCTGAGGCAGGAGGATCGTTGGGAGTTTGAAGCCAGGCTACACAGTGAGTTTCAGGCCAGTTCAGACTACTTGGCAAGACCCTGTCCCAAAAATGAAAATTTAAAAAACACAGCTTTTGCCTGGGGATTTAGCTCAGTGGCACTGGGCCTACCTCATAAGCACAAGGTCCTGAGTTTGATTCCCATACCAAAAAAAAAAAAAATCACAAGAACGAACAACCAAAAAACAATGGTTTGACTTACATTTCTTTTCTTCTGTACATAAAGAAAAACTAAAAGGCACAAGTTCTATATAAGTCTATTAGTTGCTCACATTTGAACAGACCATCAATTCAAAAAACACAAATCAGAGAATTTGAATAAAACTCTTGTGATCAAAACTAAAACCAGTGCTATAATATATAGACTTATATACAACTTGTGCCTTTTAGTTTTTCTAAAACTACATAGCAAGACTCTGTCTCAAAAAAACAAAAACCCCAAAAAACAAAAAACAAAAACTGCTGCAGCTCTCATCTTTTCTTTCACAAAGTAACCCTGGCAGCATGCCTAATGTACTTAGGCAGTGCAAAGAAACGGTTTTTTATTCTTAAACACAATCCAAAGGTTTTTATGTACTTTCAATTGTACACAGTATTCTTCCTCAATATCTCAAAATAACTTTATTTAAATCCAGAGATTAAAAAAATAGAATGGGTGTCAGAAATGCAGAGGAGAGGGGAATTTTTAGAATTAGATCAAGGTGGTAACTATACAACATTACAAACATACTAAATGCTACTGTTCACTTTGACATGGTTAACACGTGAATTTCACCTCAAAAATTTTTTTACATTGCTGGCACAGAGGCTCCTATCTGTAATCTATCTGTAATCCTACCTCTGAGAGGTGGAGGCAGGAGGATCACAAGTTTGAGCCCAGCTAGGGGAACCTAGTGACTTAGCAAGAGCCTGTCTCAAAAAAACCAAAATGGGTTGGAGATATAGTGTGAAGGCCCTAGGTTATCCTAGTACTGATCCCTTCACCCCAAACAAAATTGAGCTCTTTAGAAAAAACAATGCCACCATGTAGCTCAGTAGGAGAGCATTTGCCAATTGCTATGAGTGCTGGATTTGATTCCCGGCACCAGTCATCCCATCCAAAACAAACAAACCCCATATTGCTACCATGTTCAAATGCTATTCTTTTTTTTTTTTTTTTTTTTTTTCCGGGGATTGAACTTGGGTCCTTGTGCTTGCACAACAGGCAGCGAAACCACTGAGCTAAATCCCGGGCCCTCAAATGCTATTTAGATCTTAAGAGATTTTTAGACAAATTGCAATATAAATTATTATATATGCACAACTATAATCAGTGAGAGGTATAATGATGTCAACTGAAAACACTGCTTCATAAGTGTCAAAAGAATACTGGTGACATACGTGTGTATTGTAATCTCAAAGAAAAAATAAATAAGCCTTAAAATATTTATTCCTCTGTGACAGGAAGTGCTTTCACACAGTTCCAAACTGTAAATGTAAAGTGAATTCAAATTTGGGGAAAATTGTTTTCCCACACTTTAATCCATCAGGAAAATATGAAGTATCTCACCTATTATACAAAAGCAAACAAGAATACTACATTAAAAGAAAACAAACACAAATATCACCAATAGCAGATAGAAATGAATGTTGTCTAATTATCTTGGGTATGCAGGCAACATTACTGTGAGGTATACCTCACACTGAAAATGTAAGGAATACCTTAAGAAATCTAGAATAAGAAAAATTTCCCTTTACAAATGTCTTATAAAATTTTTCTTATAACCTCCAAGGATACCCCAAATCCAGCCCAGACTTCAAGATTAAACAGAAGAAAAGGAGGTCTTTAAGTAGATCCTAGGGAACACGCTGATTTCAAAATCTGTGACTATTATGGTACAGGTTAGTGGTGGCAAACCTATGGCACAGTACCCCAGCAGGCTGTCTGTATCTCTGAAAGCTCTATGTGGTTCACTATGACCGGTACAGGCCAATCTAGTGAGTCCAATTCTGAAGAATACCTAACCCTAAGCATAGAGAGGGCCAAATCTAAACCAGGTCAGAGTCCCTGCCAGGGAACATCTGATCCGAGGTGTTCACCAAACAGGGATCATTTATCAGTTTGTTCTTCACTTTGTTGGATGCTGCCCACTTTCAAGAGACATGTAAGAATAATACTGCTGGGGATTTACCTCAGTGGTTGCACCGCCTGCTGCACAAGCACAAGGACCCGAGTTTGATCCCCGGTACAAACAAAAAACAAAACAAAACAAAACAAAAGAATAAAACTGATTAGACTCCATCATACTCCATGTCAAACTTTAGTATCTGAGGTGAAAAATACCACAGAATTCTAAATGATCTATGGCTTTAAAAAATTATAAACAAATTGCAAACATTATCTGAATCAACTTTAACACCACTGAAAGTTTTTAAAGTTATTTTAAAATTTTCATCAAGTACTTCAAAGGTACAATTGTTTACATAACAAATTAAAGCCATAAAACAACTGTAGTGATGCCACAAATCTATCCTATATAAATGGTATGAATTTATTTCATAAGAGTTCAGTTCTGCTAAAAACAAACATGTTTTTCTTTTCTGATTCACATAAACAAATACTTTCTTGGTCACGTAAGTGAATATTTGGCAGGACACAAATAATAGAAAATTAGGGCTAATGCCAAGCACAGTATTACACAACATAGTTCACAATTTTTTTTAAAAGTCTTAACATAGATCTTTCAAAGTTTAACAGTGTCATATATGGTGGCAGCAGTAAAGCATCTAATTTGTATCATAAGCCCTGGGATTAAGTAAACTCTTTTACTTATTAATTATATGACCTTTTTGTTATGGTAGTTACTCAGCTTCTCCTAGCCTCAGATTCTTCATATGGATAAAGACAATACTACCAATGCTGCAGCATAATGAAGAGGATTAAATGAGATGTTTCTATTCACTCAACAAATACACTCTGAAACACTATAATTTTTGTTATGTACAAAATAACCCTTTCCAATCTCTCCAAATAACTAAACATATATTTACTTTTTTGTTTTAACTTATCATATTAACAGGAAAATGGAAATATAATTCCTTACGTTATGGTTCCGAAACTTCTTAGGAAATGTTTAAATTACTATTTGAGAAAATCTGAATTGAAATGAGACTAAGCACTTAAAGATATAATAATTGAATCACATCTTCAAACAAATTTGACATAAATAAGTAAAATAAATTTCCATGTGAAAGTTTTCAGCCACTCAAAACACTGTTAGGCATAAAGCACTAATGTGTATCCACTATACTTCAAATCCGCGTTTATTCAATTACTAGTCTACTCACCATCAATTCTTATGGAAGAGCTAGGAACTAGACTAGTGCTGTTCATTAAACTTATCACCTGACGATGCTTTTAATTATGACAGACATGGATCAATTCTAATTAGAAATTCACCCCTAAAATGGGTGAAAGATATTAACTGTTACCTTCTCTCCACGGTCAATTTTCGTTTTAAGAATTTGAACTAAAGCCCTTACAATGACAGACGCTGCAAATGAATATTAAACAGTGGGAAGCAATTTTCAAAACCACAGTTGTTTTTAGCTAATTGTAAGTGTTGAAATCTTACAAAATATAGTTTAGAAATCATGTCTCAAATTCACAAGAAAAGGTTGGTCTTCAACAATTTCAGGACAAACTAATAAAAGGAAAAATTAGAACACAAGAACGGGACACAAGAAATTCTATGGCTGGAGATGAATCTGAAGTGTATTTTATGCTAATTAATGTTTCCTGCGGTGCACATTAATAATTCAAAACGGGTCGTTTGAAGAAAAGTTCTAGTCAAACATTACAATTTGTAGCCAGTAAGTGGCTTTGTTTCTAGTTTCAGGGAGAATTCTGGGATGTCAAGAGTTATATCATTATTGCTCCGAAGAGCCCTTCTTTCAATTCACTCTCACCAGGGACACACTGTTTACGGAGAACTGATGCTTAGAGACGTCTGCACAGATACAGCCCTCGCCACTCCATCCTTTACCGATAACCACATTTTGTGTATTGCTGTTGCAGCACTTTTTTTTTTTTTAAAGACACCTGCAGGCTCCATTTCCCCTTCGCCGACTGGGAGAAAGAAGACTGTCTCGGGCTCGATTTCCAGGAGCTCCAGGGAAACGGACACCAGGGAGGGGGCTGGGAAGGGAGCAGCCCCGAGGTGCCAGGCGGCCCAAGCCGCGCCTGTTTACGGGCGCCGTCGCCCTCCCCCACCCACTGACGGGGTCCCACAGCGTTTCCTGCGCGCCTCTCCGCCGGCCGCGGGCCTCTCCCGCCCTCGGGCTCCGTCCCCGGCAGGCCCCGCAGGCGGCACGCCGAGGCCTGAGGCCTAAAGGACGCCGGCCGGCCAGTGACAACCGGGCCGGGGAAGCCGGGAGGCGAGGCCGCTGGCCCGCCGCGGCCGCCTATTGTTCCGACCCTAGCCCCGGCCGCCCGCTCCCCACTGGCTGCGCCGCCCGCCGCTCGCTCACCGCGCTGGTCCGAGCCGCAGCTCCTCTCAGCTCCGAGTCTCCGCGGCCGTCGCTACCGCCGCGGCAGCTGCCGTCGTCGCCGCCGCCACCATCGACTCTGACTCTGTCCCAGGCCGCCGGGCCACGGCCGTCGCCGCCGCTACCACCAGCGCCGCCTCCAGCCCCCCACCTGCTGCTGCTGAGGCCGCTCCTGCAGCAGGGGCCATCTTGTTGGTCGGCCTCCTCTTCCTCCTCCTCCTCTTCCTCCTCCTCTCGGTCCTCCGCTGCCCCGTCGCTCGTTGTCCTCGTCTCCTTCCTCTTCCTCAGACTCCGACCCGCCCCGGAGACTGGGGCGGAGAAGAGGCGAGGCTCCTCCTCCCGGAGGCGGGGCGGGCAGAGGGCGGGGCGGGGCGGGGGGGCGGTGGGGGGGGGGGGGGGGGTGCCGGGAGCAACACTCTGAGTCACTGGCCATGACGCCCGGGAGGGGCCGCCCGGGAGGAGCCGCGTCGCTCCGTGCCCTCCCTCCCGCCGCGCCCACGCGCCCGGAGCCTGGATCCGGTCCCTGAGTCCGCCCTGCCGGCCCTCCAGCGCCTTGGGCCCTGGCGGCGAGCTGAGTTAGAAAATTATTGTGGTTTTCGTCCAGTCCTGGAATATCTCCACTCCTGTGGCTGTCTCAGCTCTGCACCCTGCCTCTGTTTTCTTCTTTTGACTTACCCTACACTCCACCTTTTTTTCCCTTCGTCTTTATCCAGGCTTTCCGTCACACCAGTTTTGCTCTCGTCACCTGTCCCACGGAGGACCCAAAGAGTTCAGCCTCCCAGGGCAGTGGCCCACCCTAAAGACCTGCCCAATCATTGCTCCGAAATCTCTCTCCAGCTTTCTCCAGAACAATAAGAGCAACATGAGGGTGACAGGAAAAGATTCCACTCAAAGAAGAGCTCGTGGATCTAAAGGCTGATTTTTAACCCTTTGGAAAATTGGCTAGGGGGAATGGGAGACTTCTCCGAGACAATTCGGAAGGTTAGCCAAATTCCTGCTTTTGAGAAGGGAGAAGAATGGAATTTTTGTTTTGTTCTGAGAGTTTCACTCTGTAGATTCCAATGTACTATCCTTCTGCCTCAGCCCGAGGAAAGAAGAATGCTGAGATCACAGGCGGGCGCCACCTGGTTATGGAATTCTTTTACTGCCTTACGGTATTACTTTCAAAATAAATGCTCTAAATAAAAGAGTTCCCAAATAAACACCCGTTTAATACTCCATCCTCTGCACTTTCCTTCAGGTCTAGGGAGGGAGAGCAGAGAATGTGTTGTTGGGTTTTTTTGTTTTGTTTTGTTTTTACCGTGTACAACATTACTACCAAGAAAAAGTATGCTTCTGCCTCTAACTTGATAAAGTGAATCACTGTAATATAGTGTTTTTCTATTTGTAAAACATATCACACACTTTCCTAAACTTAGCAAGGAAAGTACTTTTTAGTTGACAACACCCACTAGAATTACAGTTTCTTTTTAAAAGACTTACTGATCTAATTTGCTGCCTTTGAAGTGGACTAAATCTATCCTCATCCCTCCAACTCACTAAATGCACTAGTCTCTGCCTCTGAAGTTTCTGTGCTCTCAGTCATATACAGAAAACGGCTGTCTGACAAAATTAAATAGAAAATTCCAGAAATGAACAATTTATAACTTTTAAATGACTTGTTGCAGTACATTGGTATAATTGTCCTATTTTATCATTAATTATTGTTGATCTCTTACTGTGCCTTAGAAATTAAATTTATCATAAATATAGGAAAAGTCATATAAAGTTCAGTCCTGTCCTTGGTTTTAGATACCTGGTGAACATCTGGGAACATACCAGGCGGATAGGGGGTGACTTCTGTAGTCACCCCGGTCTTACAAAAAAATAAATTTCTAGCTACCACAGGGGAATTAGGCTAGCGTGTTCATTTAAAGGCCATCTCTTAAAAAGGCTTTCCCTCAGACAACCAGACCTCTGTCCCCTGCTAGGAAAAATAGATTAATCTGTTCCTCCTGCTTTTCCTCCTCCTCGCTTCTCACTCCTGGGAACCTTCCACAACAGAAGGTTGTAGCTGCTGTTGCTATCCAAGTGTGCCAACTTCCCTGTTTAGGTGGAACACAACTAACTCAACTTCCAATACAAGCAACCTAGATAATGTAATTATTTGAAACATTAATATTGTACCTCAGTTGGAAAGACAGTTCCCTTATAAAATAGGATTTTTAGGGCCAGGGATTTAGCTCAGTGGTTCTGCCACCTGCCTTGTAAGCACAAGGACCTGAGTTCAATCCCGGTACCAAAATATAAATAAGTAAAAGAGAATTTTTAAAGTTGTTTATTTTTATGTCAGCAATATTTCAGTTAAAAATTAAAAACAGAGGTGTTCCTCAGAGCCCCCCCCCCCCCACTGGGGATCGCACTCAGGACCTTATGCTTGAGAGGCCTCTGAGCTAAATCCCCGGCCCCCAGAATTCATTTTAATGATATAATTAAGAAAAATTTGACAGAAAAGAAGAGCAGCTTTGAAGAAACAACGGTTTACAATAAAGGCTAGTCTGTGAAAAGTCATTTATATGTTGTGGTTAAACTAAAAATATACAGAGCAAGGGATGCAGGTCAGCGGAACCGTGCCTGCCTGGCAAGCAGAAGGTCCTGAGTTTGATTCCTGGTACAAAATAAATAAATAAATAAATTATATATATATATATATATGTATATGTATATGTATAGATATGATACAGAGGTTAATTTGTCCTTTGAGACTTGAATCTATTGAGAAGGAAGATAATGTGATAATTCAGCAGGGGGACCAAAAACAGTCAGTGTTTTTTATTTCTAAATTAACAACTATTTTAAAATTTTAACTAGTGAATTGAGCTTTTTTTTCCCTGATCTTGCTGTTTTAAAAATTGTGTTTATGGGCCCAAGGATTTAGCTCAGTGGTTCTGGCGCCTGCCTCGAAAGCCCAAGGTCCTGAGTTCCATCCCTGGTACCAAAAGAAAAATTGTGTTTATGATTGTTGTAATATTGAGATTTATTGTGACTTAGTATAAATAAGATTGAGTCATTATATTGGTTTCAATGTACATAAAAAGAAAAAAATAAATGTACATATGTAATTTAAATTTGAAAGCTTTTTGGGTTTTTTTTTGAGACCGGATCTTGCTATGTAATTGGTAGTTCAGGTTAGCCTTGAACTCACCATACAGCCCAGACTAACCTAGAATTTGTGGCAATCCTGCTGCCTCAGCCTCCCAAATATTGGCATTACAGGTATGTACCACAAAGCCTGGCTTAAATTTCAATCTTAATGTTGAATATTCATTTAATTTAGGGACATTTCTTTTTTTTTTTTTTTTTTTTGGTACTGGTGATTGAACTCAGGACCTTGTGCTTGTGAGGCAGGGACGGTGCCACTGAGCTAAATCTCCTGCAATTTAGGGACATTTCTGTTAGTACACAAAATGAATAGCATTTTATGAAGTGCCTTAAACTAAAGCTAAAACATTAAGAATGTACTAGTTAAGATAAAGAGCTTACATGTTTAATAGTCATTTGTGCTTAGAAATTAGTATTTCGTACCTTCAAGACAATTTAAACCATCGTTTTATTTTGTATTTTACTTAATTCTAATGTGGAATGCCCAGAAATTTAGACTCTGCTCAGGCCTCCACCACTAAAATTCCTTGAAAATTAAATGAGTCATTTTATGTAAAGTACTTTGTGCGTACCACATAGTAAGTAGTCGATAATTTTTTAAAAATTCATTTTATGAGTGAGCCATTGTGGTGCATGCCTGTAATCCCAGCATTCTGAGAGGCTGAGATCAAAAATTCAAACCTAGGGCCGGGAATTAGCTCAGTGGTTTCGGTGCCTGCCTTGCAAGCGCAAGGACCTGAGTTCGATCCCCAGTACCAAAACAAAAAAAATTCAAACCTAGCCTGGGCAATTTAGTGAGTTAGCAAGACCCTGTTTTAAAATTTAAAACAAAAATTAAAAGGGCTAGGAATATATCTCAGTAGAAAGGCTCAGGGTTCAATCCCCAGTACTACAAAAAAAAATTTTTTTTTTATGTTATGGCTGGGTGTGGTGGTATATGCCCATAATCCCCAGCAATTTGGGAGGCTGAGGCAAGAGGATCACACATTTGAAGCCAGCCTGGAAAATTTAGCAAGGTTCTCTGTCTCAAAATAAAGTTTTAAAAACAGATGAGGATGTAGCTCAGTGGTAGAGGGCTTACCCAGCATATGTGAGCCCTTGAGTTCAATCCCCAGTACAATAAAAAAATGAAATTCACTTTATATATGTCATTATAGTCTTAAAATTCTTGATCAAATAACAATGACAAGCTATCAAATACAATTTTGCTCTGACCATAGAACCTAAAAAACTGTTATTCTTTAGGTCCTATACAGATCAGTTAAAATAATACCTTAGGAATTTCTGAATATATTTTCTAAAGTGCATTATTATATTCTTCTTCCCTTAAATTTCTGTTTTCTTTACATTTGTTTGTTCTGGTTGTTTTGTGGGTTCGGGGCGGCCTTGAACTCACTACATAGTCCTGGCTGGCCTTGAACTCAAAGTAATTCTCCTGACTCAGTCTCCCGAACGCTGGGATTCTAGGTGTGTGCTACCACACCTGTGCTTTAATTTTTTTGAAAACAACATATAAATGTTGGGTTATGATGAATGCTTTTTTTTTTTGGTACTGGGGATCGAACTCGGGTCCTTGCACTTGCAGGGCAGGCGGCATAACCACTGAGCTAAATCCCTGGCCCCTGATGAATGCTTTTTAAAGAGACTACATGCTTTAAAATTGCTCTGGATGCAGAAAAATTATGTGACAAGATCCAACACCCATTCATGATAAAAACCCTACAGAAAATTGGCATAGATGGTCTTTATCTCAATCAGATAAAAGCTGTCTACAACAAACCAACAGCCAATATCATACTAAATGGACAAAAACTGAAAGCTTTCACTCTAAAATCAAGAACAAGACAAGGATGTCCATGGTCACCACTCCTATTCAATATAATTCTGGAAACATTAGCCAGAGCAATTAGATAAAAGAAAGAAATAAAAGGAATAAGGATAGGAAAGGAAGAAGTTAAATTATCATTATTTGCAGATGACATGATACTCTACATAGAAGACCCCAAAAACTCTACCAAAAGGCTTTTCAATTTCATAACCAAATTCAGTGGCATAGCTGGATACAAAATCAACAAACAAAAGTCGTCTGTACACAACAGACTCACAGAGAGAGAAATTAAAGAAACAATCCCTTTCACAATAGCATCCAAAACAATGAAATACCTAGGAATAGAAACTAATAAAGGAAATAAAAGACCTTGAAAATTATAGTTCTCTGAAAAAGGAGATTGAAGAGGATATCAGAAAATGGAAAGATACCCCTTGTCTTTGGATAAGAAGAACAAATAAAATGAAAATGGCCATACTTACAAACTTGTTATACAGATTCAATGCAATCCCAATCAAAATCCCAACACCACATCTCAAAGAATTAGAAAAAACAATCCCAGGGCCGGGGATTTAGCTCAGTGGTTCCACCACCTGCCTTGCAAGTGGGAAGTCCTGAGTTCGATCCCTGGTACCAAAAAAAAAAAAAAAAAGAAAAGAAAAAACAATCCCAAAATTCATTTAGAACCAAAAAAGACCTAGACTAGCAAAGGCAATTCTTGGCAACAAAGGCAAAGCAGGGAATATCACAATCCCTGACTTTAAATTATACTAGAAAGCTATGGTAATGAAAACAGCATGGTACTGGTAAAAGAGGATCAATGGAACAGACTAGAGGATGCAGAAACAACTCCAGACATACTCATTCACCTTATCTTTTGTTTTGTTTTGTTGGTACTGGGGATCAAACTCAGGACCTTGCACTTTCAAGGCAGGTGGTGGAATCACTGAGCTAAATCCCTGGCCTCAACCACCTTATCTTTGACAAAAGAGCCAAACACCTTCACTGGAAGAAAGATAGCCTCTTTAATAAATGGTGCTGGCAGGGCCAGGGATTTAGCTTGGTGGTGCCACCTCCCTCGAGAGCACAAGGTCCTGGGTTCAATCCCTGGTACCAAAAAATAGAATAAAATAAGTGTTGCTGGAAAAACTAGCTTTCCACATACCAAAGATTGAAACTAGACCCACATCTTTCACCATGCACTAACCTAAAATCAAAATGAATCAAAGATCTAAATATTAAAACAGAAACACTAAATCTGTTGGAAGAGAGAATAGGTAGAATACTTGAGGACATAAGAGCAGACAGAGACTTCATGAACAAAACCTAGACCACACAGGAAATGCTACAACCAATCAACAACTGGGACCTCATCTTATTAAAAAGCTTTTGCACACCAAGAGAAACCACCAACAGAGCAAAAAGACAACCCACAGACTGGAAAATTTTTTTTACCAGCTATTCATCAGACAAAGGACTATTATCTAGAATATATAAAGAACTAAAAAAAAAATCAGACCCACACCCCCAAATTTAAAAACTCAATCCAGGGCCGGGGATTTAGCTCAGTGGTTCCGCTGCCTGCCTCAAAAGCGCAAGGTCCCTA